CAATGTAAGTTTCATCATTTTATTAAGAAATTTTATATGGAATATGACATCAAATTTTTTTTAAATTTTACATTCGAAAAAGTCATATCCCATGTAAATTTTAAGATGTAAAATTACATGGGATATGATTTTTTTGAAAGTAAATTTTCAATTGTAAAATTTCTTCCAACTTCTTTGCAAGTTCGATTGTGCCTCCCAACTTTCATGGTCTGCGTCCGCCCCTGAGTGCCGGTTTGGGCTGGCACGAACCAATGGACTCAAACAAAACTTCAAGTGAGAGACACTTCTGCTATGCCCTTGCCTTCCTTCCCCACGCCGCATCACCGGTGTCTTCCAAGGCGTTCGCTTCCACACTTGAGAAGACTCCAACGAATAATCCACCATGGCTATGCTCATCCTCCTCGTCGGAATATCTCACAGGGGGCATTCCTCGATCGAGATTCCGGCAGGTCCTCCGTTGAGCACCTATTGTATTTTCATCAAGCGAAAACGTCCGAATCTGCTTTTTCCTCCGACCGGGAATAATGTTAGAAAACCACAAAGGAGAAGCATTACAAGAATCCCGCGAATTCAACTGACACAGAAGGCTCTGAATTCTGACCCGAATCTAAGTCCGATTTCCCCGATTTGTCTGAATAGACCCCAAAAAAAAGAGAAGAAATTGTTCCACTGGCACGTTTCTTCTTGTTGCTACTGTCAACAATTGCTATAACAGAGAACAACCGTTCTCGGAGGCAGGAGGCGCAGACGCCAATGCTGCTACTGAGGTCCGCTGGATGCTTCTTGAACCTCATGTACTGATGTGGAAGTGTAATACTTCCCTGTATTTATCTATATGATTCTATATATTCATGTATATATACAATAATTTCATGGACATAGGGTGACGGAATGAAGCATTTTCTGTGGCGTGTGTTTTGCTGTGTGCTCGTGTGTGTCAGGATCTGATGAGAGGGTTACAGAGGAGAGGCTCTGTCTTCTTCTTCCAACTTTTTAGAGAGAGAGAGAGCGCAAATTAGTTGGGACCGAGGCTTATGGAAGGATTTTGTACAGGCACATTGTTCCTTTTTTACAATTTAAGAGAGAGAAACCCTTTCTAGAAAAAAGAAGATTGAGAAAGGAATACTGCTTCACAATTGGTCTACCTACGTCGTGCCAATGGCATGGCGTGAAATAAGCAAATTACTCTTCATTGAATCGATCTCCCTATGATCTCTGTGACTTTGCTATATTACACAATTACTATCTGTTTTGCATTATTTAGATATAGAGGATTTTATTTTTAATTCTTTGGAGCGGTTGAAAGGTTCAATATTTAAAAATTATTTTAACTATACAATGTCATTCGGATATCACATTATCTAAAATTTTGGCTAAGATTTCCAATTGATGCAAATTCTAGCGTGGATGACTTTAAGAGTCAATCTAGCCACTAGGAGAAAATCGGACACCACCATTACCAAGTTGCAGAAAATTTACACTACAATAAAATGTGAGATTGAACAATGGTGTCGGTGGTGTGTGCAGGGATGACGATGGTTTGGTCGTGGTTGCCTTTGTGGAATCAATATAGGGATTTGATCTCACCTTTTCGTTGTTGAGTGATTTATGAGATTTGGGAGAGATTGAAGTTTACCAAGCTTAAAGTACTATTTATCAGCAAAATTTAATCACGTTCTTGCAATGTCGTTGCTATTGAGAAAATGTGGACCATTCATGCCAAGGAAGAAACCCTTTTACTTTTAACTGATTTATCATTTTTAGATGTTTGTTTTGTCAGGCACGAGGCCAATGGCGTAGCATACTCCCTTGTGTTGGATGACCTTTTGCCCTATCATTATAGGACATGGATGGGAGAATCCCCATCTTTCATTGATTGTTTTGTTTTGGCTGAAATAATCAAATAAAGATCATATTGGCAATTGGCATCAAAATAAAAATGTCAACCTTTTTCTTCTAGAGTGCTTCGAAAATATGTAAGACAAATCCAAGAAGTGGTGTTTCTCAATGACTCTTAGAAGTTCAAATCAAAATCGGAAAGTACAAAATTGAGTGTTAGCTTGATATAAATATATGGATTAAGCTGCTTGTACACCAGGTGTACATACACCTCTCTCACATGAACAGTGTGCGATAATATTTTATTGTGTGTGGGACCCCCCTCCATGTGAGGGGGGTGTAAAAGATTGTGTGAATGATTATGTACATGTAGCATGATCGTAAATATATTGATGTGTTTTTATATTACCACAAATTGGATCCTTTTTATAGTTGAAAAATGACCTTTTTTGCATCAAGTACTTCCTGGGTTGATTGGAGTCTCTTTTGTCGTGCTCCCGTAGTCAAGAGTTTGTCTCTACAAGTGAAAGAGGGAAATTTATCATCTTCAATTGGCTTTTACTTGGTTGAGTGATCATTGGGCGTCAACTGTGACCTTGTTGAAGGTACATGATGGTATAAATATCGATGATTCTAATTGAAATTAATAAATGTTTGTGATTCAGATGAAATTACTGACACCGATTTTGTCGATGATCATCAATGCATCTTCATTAGATGTTGCTGATGTCAATGTTGTCAGTGATATTTTCAAGAATCATTAATGATGCTTTAGTCACCTATAGAAAGTCGTCGTAATCACTAATCTAAGTTTATTCTTTTTGCGTATTTCATTTTTCATAAGTAAATTATATATTTTTTTTATCTTTTCTTATAATAATAATACTGACTCATAAATTATTTTTCTATTTTTTATTTGATTCGATGGAATTTTTGGTTAATATTTGTTGACAAGTAATAATGTTGTGAGTAAAAGTATCGTCCCATGAGAAATAAATCTTAAATTGAATAGTATTAATTGGTTATCAAATTTGATTGTAAAATTAACAAAAGAGTTTATGTGTTTATGTATGTATTATCTACTAATTAGTGATGATTTTGAATTAAATATGAGATGTACGTGTTGGAATCTGAATCCACGTATTATTATCATATTTTCAATTCTAATATAGTTTTAATTAGGAGTGGACGAGACCTGATCCGATTATGTTTCAAAGGGAATTGAACCAAATTGAGTATCAATGTGAATCTTAAAAATGGAATAATTGGTTCCATATCTAACTATATAACTGAATTGAAATCGAACCAATTAGTTCAGATTCGGTCCGATCTGGTTCTTTGTATTAGAAATTTATAAAAATATAATATGAAACTCTTGTCAAATTAAAAATAGATAAAACTAGAATTAAAATCACTTATAATTCTTGTAATATAATAATATAAAAATCAATTAAGTAATGCAATAAATAGAAATACAATCTAAAGTTCAAGATCAATTAATAAGTGCATAAAAAACGATAAACCATTAAATACAATATAAACTATAAAATATGGACCAAAAATATTTTTAAAGAAAATTCAGACAAAAATATATGTTGAGAATGCATATAGTATTTATAACTTGGTTATCTTCGATAATTTTCAAGGAGAAGTTCTTGATTCTAATGTTGTGCCACTATGAAAACAATAAAAAATTTGAATTCTTACGAAATATTGAGCTAAAAGTACACTTTTTACTGATGAGATTGCATTAAAGATATGAAATTTTGTAAAGTATTTATAAAATTATTTAGATTTAAATATTGATTAACTATTATGTTTTGCTATAAAAGAAAGAAGAAGAAGAAGAAGAAGAAGAAGAAGAAGAAGAAGCGTGTGAAAAGTAAAGTTTTGACGTCAGATAACTTTAGGGTCTAATGTTCAAATATCTAGTGCAAATTTGTGCAATAAACCAACTAAAAGAGAAATTAAGAAGAATTGAATTCAATATGGTTCTGAAAGCATTACCAAGAATCGGATCGAAACCGATTGGTTCTTGATTCATGGTCCCAAATTTGATCTATTTAATAAAGGAACTCAAGCCAAACCGATCGGTTCTATCCAGTTTCGATCCAGTTCCGATAAAAATGCCCACCCCTAGTCTTGATAGTTGATAATACAATTTCATTTAACTATCTCTCTCCAAGTAATTTAAACCAATTTTAGGTACGAACCGGTTATATTCCTATTTCGAATTCATAAGCAAATAAGTATTAAATCTTATGATTATTTATTCAATTGCACGTGGCAGATAAATTATTCCAAATATCTATTATCCGTACGTTGAAATCGGAAAGTTTTAAACCTATTATGAAATGAAAACAATCAATAAAGTCCATATTCATCCAATACAAGAAAAATATAGTTTAACATGTTTTTAAAGAAATTACACCCAAAAAAAAGAAGAGAAAATCATCACCTCAAAAGTATAACTACAAGAAAGAGATGTGAAATCTATTTCTTTTCTTGATCTTCAATTTCAAACTTTAATTCTTCATGATTTTGATGCTTCTTGCCATCAAATCGTTGTCAGACTCGATGTGAGATTTGTATTATATGATCGATGTGAGAGAGGTCCCCCTATGTTTTTCCCTCGTTCTGCACTTGAGGGGGATAGAATTAGGTCGTTCAATTTGATTTTTAAAAGTGTTTCAATCGAATAAGAAAAATTGTATGTATGCTAAGGTTTCCCCATGTGATTGCATGGGGACCTATGTTGTGATGGCAACAACCTAAGGGGAGTTGCAATCACACTCTTTAAGTTTCCCCAATATCAATTTTGGTCCTAAAGTTGCTCCTTTGTCCATCTTGAGTCCTTTCCTCAGGCAATTCTCATCATTTGTCTTCAAATCTCATCCAATTGATCCTATGTGATCTTCCACATTTATTCCTTGGTCCAAATCAATTTTTTTTGACTATTTACAATTTAGTCCCTAAACTTTGAAAATCTTCATTTCCATCGATTTTCGTTTATTTCTTCCAAATTTACTTTCAATCATCAAGTTTTACCAACAACCAACGTAAATTTAATTAAACTATAATTCACAAAAGTACTCCGAAACGTCCATATTAAATTGCCTAGATAAGTGCATAAAATATGCTGATCGGTATTTAATTTTACATTTTGGTGTTTTATTGATTTCATTGTAAGAAGTCCAAGGTTCCTAGAGTCTTTTGAATTTTTAATAGTTAGAAATTGAGAGAAAGAAGCAGAGGATAAAACATCTTGAATTTTGTTTTGTGATGGTTTTTTTTTTCTTTTTTAGAATTATTATCAATATATTTTTAGAATTACTTTTCTACATAAATTAAAATTATTATCAATATATTTTTTGTATATTCGATGATATTAAGAACTACATTAACTTCATCATCTGAAGTTATTCAATTTTGGGTTTTGCTAGAGTGACAGGGCCACGTAGTCCTTGTCACTCCAGGGGACGCATGTGCCGCCCCCTATTGGATGGATGTCTGTTCACATTCACGTCCAACCAATAGGGGGATGCCACATGCGTCCCCTGTTCTTTGAGGGCCCACGTGGCCCTGAATGCATAGAAAAATCGTTCAATAATTTGATACTAGAAGGAGAGCCTTATAAAAAAC